TATATATATATATATATATATATATATATATATATATATATAATATAAAAAAAATAATAATAATATATATAGAAACATTTTGCATTTTTTCAAATAAGGAAAGACCCGGACTTGTATTTATCACCCATAGTAAATATAGCAATATCTTTCACTGCTATTACAAGTGCAAGTCTTTCTTGAGATTTTCTTTGACCAGCTTTGTACATCTTCGAGGTCTTTTGTTGCTAAAATGTTATAAAATATAATTGTTAAAATAGTTCAAGTTTGTAAAGATTGGATGATGTGCAAGTGTGATCAGGAATTTTACAGCTTTGAGAAATTGTCAAACAATTATAGTTTAGTACTTTGCTTTCTGTCATTCTCCAACATGAGTAGGTTTTGATCTACACCAGTCCACTCTTGTCTTACTGGAAGGTTAACCTCCATTTGTTTACCTTTTTTTTTATATATATATATATATACATCTACGTTTTCATTAAATGCTGCCCTGTGTTTAGTGTCATCCACTTTTATCTACAATAAATATTTTTACTGTCTCTGCTGAAATAAAATATCCCCACAGCATGATACTGCTACTTCTGTGTTTCACAGTGGTGTTCAGTTGTAGACTTTCACAAATTGCATCTGAGTAAACTGAAAATGGGACTTGTTGATTTGCTTTCAATTGTGGCTTTGTTCTTTTCACTCTTTCATAAGGCAGCATAAAATGTGTAGCTCTTTTATTATACCAACTAAACCTGGGGTCACCAACCATTTTTAAGCTAAGAGCTGGTACTGACTTATACAAAGGGCTACAATTACCATGGCTATGAACTGCAAGTGTCAGATTTCACTGGAATGTAATGTGTAACAAATATATATATATTTTTTTTTACACATTGTCATTTTCAAATCACTATAAATGCATGTGTGATTTAAAAAGAAAGCAACTGAAACATATATATTATATATTGCTATCAGACTCTGCTCACAGGTGAGTTGTGCTTTTATAGAAGAGGCTTAAGGGGGCATCATGTGGCCCTTGAGGGCACCCTGGTGCCCATGAGCTCCGCGTTGGTGACCCCTAAAAAACTGCTGATCTCCACAGCTCCTTCAGAGTTACCACAGACCTTTGGTTTACCTCTTTAATTGATCCAGCCTTTTTCCAGGTGTGGGCCATGTTTTAGTAGAATTTACTTTAGTTGTACTGTATTCTTTTTATTTTAATTTCAGGGACTGAACAGAGCTGTTCCATTTTTTTTTTACATTTCTTTTGTAATCTGAAAGAATAATTCTGGTAACAAAAATTCAAGTTTTAGCTTGAAATGTGATCAAATACAAATAAGTTTACGATGTTTTGCATACACTGTCCTGACTTTGTTTGCTGCCTTTTTTAAATGACCTTTGTATCTTTATATCTCCATTTTAAAGTTAAATAAACTTTTGTGTCTCATTCTTTCTAGAGACAATGTGTGACCGTCAGACCTTTGTGAAACTCAGTGAAGAGAAGCGCATACCAAAGTAAGTTAGGGAACACAGACAATAAATCAAAGTCAAGATGTTGATTAGAGATAATGTGCTTCTGTAAAGGGCTGGTGCCACCAGGGCCTTCATTGTTGGCGTATTAGCACTGAAGTTAGCACTAATCCAGCCTTTGTGTTGACATTCAGGTCTGACATCCTGTCACTGCTGAGAACCTACAACTGCTATCATGAGGGAAAAAACTTTCAGCTGCGGACTCGTGAGGTAAGGATGATGTTGTGCTGTTGGAAATGCAAGGATAAACAGCAGAGAGCTTATTTAAACTGATGCACACAATTAAATTACGTGTAAACATGCCGAAGCATATAGAAATATAACAGATATGAAAACCAAGCAAACCACTGTACTGACTTTGAATGTTGAAACAAAGCTCTTCACAATTCCTGTCTTGTATCCAAACATGGCAAATTGCTGAGAAACCACAAAAAGCCCCTATATCCCTCACAATCTAAGAAAGGAGGAGAGAGACGCCCTTACCTCAGTCAGAAAACTCTCCTCTAGTAAAATTATTTCCACAGTAAGCTATTTTTCCTTTCAAAATGCTCTCATTTCTTTGGTTATTTATTTGATCATCATTTCTTGGCTTTTATGGTTTGGACTTTCCCTATATTTTCACCAGCAGTTTTTTTCAGTGAAAGCATGCATGTTTGTCTGTGTGTACTGCATAGGGGTCAGCGGTCAAGATGTGTCCCTTTTTTACACACTCAAGTTAAAAAAGTATACATATATGGCATTGTCATTTGAGGGGGAAATCCCACACAGCTGCACAGAAAGGGAAAAATCCTCATGTCAAAATGTTTGTGAGACATGAGCCACAAAGAAAACAACTTAACCACCTTAAAAGCTTAAATATCTTGTAAGATAATACTGTATGTAACCGAACCATGTCAATTCAATAGAAAATGGTTTAGCCCAGGCTGACTCAGCCCTGTAAATTACAGGAAGTTACTCCACGGATTAACACTATCTGAAGCTTTGATAAATATTTTTGAGGTTTTCTCATCTTTAAACTATGCTGATGAAAATAAATGAAAGAAGAGGTTGAATGATGTAACTTCACCCAACTTTAATATAAACTTCCTTTTTCATTATTTAGCTTCTTTAGTGATTTATTCATGAAGTGGTTTCATTTTTTTTTAAAGTTTACTTGTCATAATTAACTGGGGAGATGAGAGCAAATAATAAAAAAACAATAGTATAATAGAAGGATAACGGTAAATGTAAGATTGTGCTGTCTTGGACTTCAAGAAATCTGACCAATATATGTAAGATCTTTAGTGTGTTTAAAGAAGAGTCCAAAATGTTGTTTGTTCAATGATTTTTTTATGGGGTAAAGTAGATGTAGACTATATTGGACTGGAAGTAGTGGCTGTTAATCAAGTTATTCAACCCAACTAGAGCTTGACAATGGTTTATCAGACTCGTTAAAGTCCCGTTTGAGGCAGAAATTGGACCCTTCCAAAAGTTGTCGTCCTGATATTTACTTTTGTCCTGTTTGGTTTTTTACACTTCTAATATAGAGATAGCTCTAAATATAGATCTAAATAAAGACACCTTACCCAAATGTGTGACTACCATTCAAGTCAGGATAGAAGCATTCCATATAACCTTTAAAAAGGACTAATTTTACACCATCTTGTTTTATGTTTATATTGCTTTTTAGGAGCCATATATCTTCCTCTAATCTTTTAAAGTGGTCTAATAAGATTTACTGTTTTACTTTTGGTGATAAAATTCTGTTTAATTTTTTATTTTAATGTCATCTTTCTTTGCAAAAATGATTCAATATAAGTTTGCTGCTAAATTGTTTTTTATTGTTCATGAGACTGATTTATCACATGATTTAAAGAAGCCGCATAAATTGAGCTGTGCAGCTTCACATAACTGAATTAATGGTTTTATTGTAATAAAAAGGAATATTAAGGTCTAAAGCTATGTGAAACCCAAAAAATATGAATAACAAGACTGATAAAGATTATTTGTATTGTAATGTATTTAAACTCGGTCGTTCGCCTTTTGCATGATTTGTGGATTACTGTGGTGCATTATGAGGTTGTCACTCTGGCTCTGCTGAGACGTTAAAGATGTCTTCCTGGCTTTAATATTGCGAATTCCTCAATTCTCCTCTTAATGATGAGCAGTAGCAGGCTTCTGAATGGCTGAGCTCCTCCCCCTATACCTAAAGAAGTGCCTTGCCACCATGCACTGGATGCTCATTTCTTGTATCCAGATTTCATGACCATATGTGAGTGTCGGAACGTAAATTCAATTCAGTTTATTTCTATAGTGCCGATTCACAACACATGTCATCTCAAGGCACTTTACAGTTCACCAGATCATACAGTCAAATTGATTCAGTTTTCTATCTAAGGGAAACCAATTGATTGCATCAACTCATTGACTCGAATGTAGTCCCTCACGCTAAGCATGCTTGTAGTGATAGTGGGGGGGTGAAAACTCCCTAAAAGGAAGAAACCTCCAGTGGTAAACAGATCAGTAAATTGCGAGCATTACCCAATGGCTTCGTTTTTGTTTTTTTTGTTGATTCTGGTGGTTGATTCTACGCTCTACTCACCCCTCTCATGAACAAAACCTGGAGGTGATTATATCCCGCCACTTGAGGCAGGAACTCCTGTTTGGAGCAGGCAAATCACCCTTTTCCATTTGAGAGCAATGAAATCAGACTTGGAGGACCTGAATTTCATCAGGTTTCACGGGTTATTGAGGTTTGTATGCTTTGGTTAAAAAAAGCATAATTTCAACCATAAAATACTGCACTGTGTTGGTATCTAAACCAGATTTATTTTCCAGATTATCCACTTATATCTGGAGAATATCTGCTCCAGATTCAGCTGATTCAGAGGAAGTAAGGACTTAGTCATTGGATATTTTGTGGATATAAGGGTTAAACCATTGCTCAGCAGTAACATTCTTTGGTTATGCATGCCTGCCCAAAAGCCAAAGTTTGGAAAGTCCTTTTGGAAAGTTCTAGTAAACATGGAGACCATTTGGATTGTTTTGGATGTAACACACGTGTAAGATCGTCTCTCATTCCTAAACAGAGTGCTCTGTGTAAGCAGGTGGTGCATGGCAAGAAGAAACAGGTTGACATTGGAGGAATTGAAAGTTAACAAGATTGATTAGATTATAATCAGGTCAGGTGATGTAGGCTAGTCATTTAAGAGCGGGCGTGTCAGGAGGCCTGACTTTGCAACTGTGATTTAAAGCAAATGAACCAAACCTCTTTGAGAAGGGAGCAAGCTCTTACATGCAGGACTGCTCATTATAAGCTGTAATACTGAAAGTGTTTCTGAGCGCTGAAGGCCCCAGTTGATTTAGTATTAAAACTAACACAGTCTGGCTTCATCACAGATGAATTCTTCGGTGACATTTCTTTAAGAAAACTGCTGTTAATTTTGATTAAATTTTTTTCCTGCTTAAAGATAAACTTACCACTGAATTAGTCCCTGATTTATTCGATCACTAAGAAGCTATGTGTTAACTTAAAAGAAAATGTATTTTTATCATAAAAGTCATCCAGGTCATAGTCATTCCAGATGACATGCAGAAGCTCTAAAAAAAAACTGGAGGGTACCACATTAATCTAAAACATTTTAGCTGACATGAAGCAGTGTGTATGTCTTGCATTTTTATAACAGGTGTAGAACACTGCCTTCCTATCTTTTCTTCCGTCAATATTTACAACCTCTTGCTCTATTGAATGAAGATAACTTGCTATGGCTATGACTCATAAGGTGCTGAAACACAGAAGTGACTTGGCCTTGGACTCCCTTCTACATATAATACTAAAAAAGCACTAGGATAGCACAGAAATCTACCAAGCAGTACATTTTGCCCCAAATTGGGACTTACACCTAAAGCTAAAACTTACACATGATCTGGATCTTAATCACAATGTATTATTCCTTGGCATGAGGGACACCTCTGACAGACAAACACACAAACTCTTAAAACATAAGCTCCTTGGCAGAGGTAATTAAGCTGCCAATAACTCTGCAGCTCCCCCTCGTGGCTATGTGTAGTATGTCTGGATTCAAGTTTTAACAGGACCACTAGATGACAGTAGAGTTATTGCTACAAGTTTAGCTCGTTTGGATTGTTTTTTATAGTACACAGCAGAAACAGTTGAGCATTAATCATATTTGTTATTATTATTATTATTTATTCGGTGAAAGATTTGGTTATTAAAGAAACCTAATAGCCCCAGGAGTATTTTACTGTGTGCTTTGATACTTTTGGTTCATATAATTTGTATTGTATGTTAAATTTGACCAAATGTTAATTATATATGTTGTTAAAGGATTTTACTCCTAAACTTAGATAAAAATGTCCAATAAGTTCTGTTCAATGTTGTTTTAGTTATGTTATACATACGTGGAAACTTTGATGGAAACATATACGTTTTCAGATATTTTATCAGTAATATGTTTATAATTTATTTTAGAATAGAATTTTTTTTGAAATTTACATTAAATCACAATTTACAAACTTATGGTCCAGTTTACTCCATGACTTCAAATATTTAAAAAAAAAACCAGAAAATTACTCTTGAATCTGCTCTCTTATAAAAATTTAAATAAAATAAGTTAATGAAATAAATGTTAGGAAACAATTTTCACCTGATATTTTTTTTACCTGAAGTTTTAAAGATTCTAGTTAACATAGGTTTTTAGACGTCCCTTTGTTCATTAAACCTTTAAAAATGCTTTTGGGGCATGACAACAACAAGAAACATACAGTAACAATCATTAAGGAAAAAAACAATTAAAACATAAACAATTTCTTTTTGATATATTAGGATTTTATTAGAAACAACAGCTTAAGAGTTCATAGAATATTAAACGTAAACATATAGGTCTCATAGAGTCCTTAGTAAATAGAAATAAATAGGTTGAATTTGCACTATTATTATGAGCCATGGTGGAGCAGTTATTCCTGAGGTTCCTTCAGAATTTATTTCTTCACTCCATCAAAGTACCCACATTATGTCCAACAACAAAAATGTCTCTCTTCAAGTCCTTATTTGTCCAAAGAGCCAGTCCATGGGGTCTTTGCCCCGGCAGTCTTGTTCTCTGCTCATCTTGAGTGAAAACTCCTCTGTGCTGTGTGTGCACAGACTGGAGGCTCTAGAAGTCCTCGGTGTGCGTGAAGACACACGTGCAGCTTTTGAGAGCTGACGCTGC